GAGGACACTGTTGCTGAATGAAACAGCCAGATTTCATTAAAACCCACTTTCATTTATTCTTTTTTTAATTTAATCATCTATTCAAGTGATGCACACTCTCAAAGGAGTCACTTACACTGAGGACAGATGATGCTTTGTTCATCCGCAAATATAAATCATGGTTCAGCAAATGAAATCAAAACCGCATTTTGCGAAGTAATACACGTGGTTCACACTTGTCTTTCTCGGTGTGCGACCAACCACATATACACATTGTGTTGGGTGGAGATGAAGCATAATAGACCCACTTGACAGAGTGCGCATACTCTTTAGGCCTTCATCTTGAACTTGTTTGCACCATCTAACCACACACAGCAGATTCTGCATGTGACAATGTTAAAATACTTAAAGCGTGGCATGACACAACATTTAATCACAAGCACTTAACCCAACTGAAACTAGATCCAAGCATGGATTATTCTGTATGTTCAAACACACGATGGGAAAACCTCACAACAGCTTTTTGCTGAGTTCAGCTCATCAGTAACCCAAAGGATAAAACACTGTATATTGTGGGGGAAAGTAGCTGGAAGTGAATGAAACAAACACTTTGTAAACAGCTTTTTTATGACCAACGGTGCTTTCACACCACAAACAAACCGCACTGGTTGGAAGTGGAACTTTTCAGGCCGGTCAGTTCATTTTTTTTTTCACCAGACTTCGATTAACATCTGTCACACCTGCCCAAACCAACTGTACCGACTAGGTGTGAGATTTAACCAAGAACTAACAGGTTGAGCACCCAGTCATCGCTCTCTGGTTTAACTTCCTCACTAACCTACGTCGTCTTTTTTTTCCACACCAACTCCTTTTTTCTGCTCTCTGAAAGAACAGGGCAGAGGAAATGAAGGCTGCTTTGGAGAAGCATGCGGCCAGATGCTTTGCATTTTACTTCGTAGGTAGCCTACAGTGCACGGCATTCTGCCGACTAATCTATCAGCATCTCAATCATCTCTCCCAGAGAACGCCGGACAAACACAATCCGTTCCTCTGTTCCACATGAAGACATACTCTCACCAAATAACCGATGTTTCCTTCACCACAAAGCTCTTCGGGGTCTACAAAAGTCAACTGCAAGCGTGGGCTTTTACAAACTGACCTCCGTTGGAGTGTTTTTGTAACCCCGGACCTCTTGCCTTAGCGACCATTTGTCGACCCCCATCAGTCTGAATACCATTTTAGTATTTGTAAAGAAGAAGAATGCTTAGTATTTATTATATTCAGCTGATTTCAGGCGGAGGTCAGACAGGCAGATGTAGCCAACATGTGTTTGAGAGCTGTTTTGAGTGCTCTATGTGGGCTTGGATGGCGTATGAGTCGTGCAGTGAGCTCTTTCAATATTATGGCATCAATGAACTAATGTATAACGCATACTTTATGTGTGTGGATGTGCGAGTGAACTCGTGAAAGGTAAATGTTTGATGGGGTAATGAGGCTTTCAGTAAACGGAAGAAAAACAGACCGTTTCTCCATCCGCCCCTCGTGATTCTAGTAGACAAACACTGCAGTCTGTGTTTTTAAAGGAAAATGCACATTATATAACAGCAGTAGTTTGAAAACATGTACATTCACCGTGACATCATCTTAGATGTTTCAGAGAGATTTACATTTTTCCCTGATTGGTTTTCTTGAACGGCAGCTGGACGGCAGCTGGATGTTAAAAGACATTAAAAACCATGTGGTCGAGCTTTATGCACAAATGCCTTTGTGTGGCTGCCTCTGTGGTTAGCGTAGCTGCTCTACTAGCATCAGGGATGTCAGAAAGCAGAGAACTCTGTCTCCATCTAAAAGAACCTTGATGTTTTAGTTTGATTGACAGATGGTTCGTCCAATTCCCTGCTGCATATTTGCTTTGGAAAAGTGCCCTTTTCCAAACAGCCTCCAATGAAGGCATCTCAGATGGTTCTCAGTACAAGAAACATCTGGCGAATCGGGGTTCAAGATTCAAAGTATTAACACATCATCATTTTCTTTCTTTGCAAAACACACAATGGAAAAACAGAAAACAGCACATGGTATTGAACAAAAATGCCTTTATGAATATCCAAGTAAGACTGAGCACCTCCTCATCACAAGGACGTATTAAAACAAATATTCTGCTTTGGTTCCACAAACCACCAGATCAGAACCGGTTTGTGAGAAACTGACACGTGGAACCGGACTTTGCTCTCGGTCTGCCGTCTACATCAGCCATACAACGACTTAAGAGATAACCACAGAACAATTGTAATCCCATCATCCTCTCTCTTGCACGGGCTCATGTAATAACTGACAAGTTAAAATAACCTTCGTCAGCTGGCTCAGTTAGCACGGGAAACAGTTACATCCATCACTCTCACCAGCTTGAAATCGCTGGCTGGAAAACACTTGAGGATACATTTGCACTTGTGAAGAACCGGGCTACTAAAGAAAAAAAGGCTTTCCCTGCAAGGCCATGGCGCTGTGTGCTTTTTGTTTTGTAAATGACAGACAACGCCAGGGCCAGCAGTGATTATTGCAGGTATGCTGAACACAAATTTGTTAAGGCAAATCAGGGCAAATCCAAAGCTGGGGGTGTGTGATAGGGTGTGCACCTCACCCGTTCATTTCAATACACGCAGAAGAGTTTTCCGCATCACAGGCCAAGCGGCTCTGTAGCCGTCAGTAATCTCCCGTTGTACGGTTGGACACGCACCAGAGCACCTTCATCCCCCGATGCTCTGCGTCGTGACCTGCCACCCCTGGTTTGTGCGTTTCATGTAAATATAGTGTGTAATGACACACTGTCAGAACACAGATGCTATTATGGCCGTCCTCCCGAGCAGAGGTCACCTCCGCCACCCCGCCCAAAAGAGGGGCCGCCTCGCCACCGCGGTTTAAGGCTCTGCTTTCGCCCTGACCAAAATGACAGACGGGGTTTTATCTTTGCATTTTGACCAGGGGAAGAGGGGGAGGGGGGGGGGGGGTGCTGACAATCAGGAGGATTTAGCAGACCCACGATGATTAGTGTTGTTTTCGGTTTTTTAGTCCCTTTGAAGGTTATGATTGGGACGGCACGCGCGCGGTCAGCAAAAAAAACGGTCAGGTCATTGTTACCATGAATCTCTACAGCCACTCCAGATGTATTTATTCTTACATGTCTCAAATCATTCCTGCAGCCAGGAGAAACAGCCAGAAGTACAAACTTTTGAACTTTTTGTCTTATGTTTTTTTATTTTTTTTTATTTGATCAGTTTTTCCAGATGGCTCTTTAACACAGGATCAAACCACGAGACGGATTAAAAGTTGAGTCATCCTGTCAGGACGTTCACACCGTACTCCATTACTCAACCGATGGGTTGAGTTAAGCGGCTAGAGACCCAAATTAAGAGCGAAGACCCTGAGGCACGGGGGTCCATCTGCTCGAGTCCGTCTCCTGGCTCAACTGAAAACGTTTCACCAGCGCCTGATCGCTCGTTCCCCGCAGGCTGCTGGAGGAACTAATGACCATAAGGCAGAAATACTGTGCATAGTAGTAAAATTACAACATCAACAACTATCAAGCTTTGGGGGAAAAAAAAGTTAAATAAATTGGGCACTAACACGATAGTGTTTTCTTGTATGCCGTCATGTGGTTTGAGGTTGAAAAGGGCAGGAGACACTCTCGCTGCAGCATTGAGTGGTTGAAGGGTGCTTTGTCTCAAATAGGCGGTAAATTAGCGTTGCATTTTTCGATCTTATGTTGAGGGTTTTACTTTTATCAACACCATCTCCAGCTGTGGCAGGGAGCTATCGTCAGGCTGGGAGGTAAACTGATGAGCTGGTGGAGCTTTTACCAGTTGGCCCACATAGCCATGGCGACATTATGACGTGAACACCGGACATCGATGTGTCTACAGCTCTTTTTTTCTTTGCTATATACGTCAAAGCGAAAAGAAAACGCTGCTACATGCAACTTGTTTTGCCTCTTTTAGCTCAATGTTTTTAACCTCTTTGCAGAAACACCATCAGGTGATGGTCAATGTTGTACATACAATTTTGCTTTTGGTTTACTTGGTCATGCAAACTCCAACACTGAAAATGGATTTGGCAGATTCAACAGCTCTGGATTCCCAGAAGAACACTATGATTTGAGATTTGGTCCAAATTCTGACCTTCTACACACCAGGCTACTAATGGAGGATTTTAAAGGATGTAAAGCGTATTAATAATCGCAATCTAAAAAGGAGACTGCTTACTGGGTTTTGGTATTTTAGACAAATCGTAAACCAAAACTATTTTTGTACACAAGTCATTGTGAGATCTCACTGCAGCCAAAGTAGTTAGATTCCTTTAGGATTCCGTTAGCTCTGAATATCCGCCCTGAGGTCAAACTTTAAAACCCAGTGTATAATAATACCATAACTCAGTGTGCATGTCAGTACGTAGTCATTCCACCAAAGTCTGTCACCATGTGGTGAACTCTAGAGGTTGACAAAATCTTTTTTTCCGTATCCAGATGAAGTCATGGGCTGATTTCCAACTTCTGAGTTTATCGTTAATATAATCCTCCAGCAATGAATCACAATTTGTCAAATGTGCATTAGAAAGAGGTATGGACCTCTTTCTAATGCACATTTGACAAATTGTGATTGCCGCGGATTTATTCCATATCGTGTTTTAGATGGTAAGTAATGGGAAAGAACTTTAAGCACTGATTTAATGGAAAAGTTTTAAAACTCTGGAGCAGAACAAACGTTCGTGGCCATGATTAAACATTCTATGCCTTTTAGGTAATAAGACAAATCAAAATGTTACTCCAACCCAAAACACTTTAGTTCTTTTGTTCTGCCTAAACATCTAAATGCAATGCAACAAATATGTGCAAAGTTGTCAAATATATGCAGGTTTTACAAAAATCCAATTCATCAGATCATTCAAATTTGTTAACCTTACGATTGTGCTAAATATTTTTAAGGATGTTGTTTAAATGTAAGCTGACAAATCAACAGCAACTGCAAATGAACAATGTTTTCACCAAATCTGATTTATTTTCCATAAAAACCACAGATCAACTATATTAATACAATACAGGTCAGTAAAGGTCCAACTAAATAAAGATTAGAGCAGAGCTACACACATTCAATGTAAGGTAACAGCACAGAGAGGAAGTCAAACACAAGAAGTTCAATCAAATACGTTGACAATATTCCCCACAGCATCCAACACTTATAAAGAGGAAGTCAAATGATGTGCATTGTGACGATGCCAAGCAGTATTTCACGATATTGAGTGGATCTTGTAATTTTTTCCCTTGCAAAAGAATGAAGTTCCCAAATGCAGAGGTGCTGTAACAGTCTTTTAGCTGGAAGACACTGGAGGACATGGAGACCATCTGGATGCTGCTTCCCGATCAGATGGTAAGTGTCTTTTCCTGGCGGCGCTCCACTGATGTGATAAATGAAGAGGAAGAAGAAAGAACGTGAAGTTCAGGAATACCAGAAGGTAGCCCTGGAAGAGGAGAGAGGTTCAATAAGTTAAAGGGAATAACTTGGTGCTCCACAATGGACGTCAGATGAGATGAAAAAGTAAAGCTGGATGGAGACGACGCAACGTGTTGGATTCAAACAAATATTTGATTAATTTCTCCTTGAATGCCTATACACAAAGATGACCAACAATTAAACTCTCATCACAAAGGAATCGGTCCTATCAAAGGATTTTCAACACTTCTCCAACCAAGGAAAGACAACAACATATCTACAGTGCTAGCAAGCACCATGTGGTTATGCAAGTAAATTGGGCTGATCCATGAAACGTGGCCCCTGTAAACACTTGTTACTACAAAAATTCTTGGGTGGTCTGAGTACAGGTACATGCAGCTCTAAATACGGCTGGAAATACACCCAAAACCACAACGTCCCCAGTTGTGCTTATAAGGAGACGGCCGTGTGTCTCCTGCTGGGCCACCAAGAGACAGAACCAGTCAAAAGTTTGGACACACTTTCTCTGTGAGAAACGACTTACTGTATCCAAACTCAACTGTGGACTTGAATTGGCAAGCTTTATTCGGCCGTTAATCATTATTCGCAGTCACTGAAAGAGTCGGACGAGGTCTGTTTTGGATTAACAGTCATAATGATTTATGTGCCTCGGTATCTTTAATCGTAAGGCTTAGGGTTACAACCAACAATCTGTATCGATTCTTCTGGATTTTTTTCCATTACTTACTCTATTGAGTTAAACAATGTGAATGTGCACATTCTATTTTTTGATAGCACCGGGTTGACTCTTTACCCTATTATTTGAAATGTAAAATTGTACTCTAAAAATACAGAAACATGTTTTGTGCTGCACTACTTATTTTTTTTTAATATTCTTTGTTTTCATCTTGCATGAATCCTTAAATGTCGTACTTAAGCGCATTATGCTGGACATGAACATGTCTCATGACTACCAGGTAATTTCTTTAAGATGGATGAACAGGAACCACATAATTAGATCTTTAAATGCAAACGCTTTGAAGCACCTTTTGCATTTGAAGCACATTTGTTCATTTTTGTCATCGCCTGTACGCAAAATGCCCCTATGATTGCTTTTTTTTTAGTGAAATAATGAAGCCATCTGATCAAATTCCACGTGAGCTGGGAAATAAAATGCCTCTTGGTTGCTGTAGCTGCATTTCAGATGTGAATGACACGATGTCTAACCAGGGCCCTGGAACGTGCATTAGCTTGTGATGTCTGGGAAAGAACAAACTACTACAACTATATGTCTGGCAGAGGATTAGATTAGACAACTAAGTAAAAGCCTGTGTAGGAAAATATATGAAATGCAATTTAATTTTCTCTAATGATGGTTGTTACTGATGGAAAGTGGTCATTTGTTTTCATATCCAACTACTTTACTTGAATATATGGTCATGGTTGACAGGCCTTTATATACATGAACTGTTGGAAAATTACACCACACAGTCCTTTAAAAAGGAGATTGCAGACCTTTCCTACCTGACGGGTTCAGTAGTTGATCATCTTCTTAATCGCATCAAAGCACTTCCACTTGTCTGGGATGTAGAAGGGTTCAAAGATGTGAGGGAAGGGCGTGTCATAACCGCAGACCCTGCTGATGGGAGCCTCCAGGTTAAGGAAGCACTGCTCCTGCAAGGAAAAAGAGGAGCACAAATACTCGTTATTGGCTGAATGCTGACATTGTTCAGGCAGGGAAGCCAAGCTACTAACCATGGACATATAAAGAAAATGAGTGCACAATGACAAAGGCTTAGTGGCAAACAACATAAAAGTATTTTTTCAGTGCATCTGATTGCATGTTGCAATTCCACCGTTTTATTCCAAATTTGCTTAGAGTTTCAGCGTTCTCACAAAAGGCCTGGTACTTCGACATAGTGGTGCTTTGAGCTAAATAAAATAGAAATGTCAGCATCCTGGCATGTTCACAAGCCAGTAAGCTTCATTTAATGCACACAGAACGGGGACAACATAGTCTAAATAAACAAACCTGAGACTGATTCTCTCCAAGAGCAACTGAAAACAATCACTTAGTGGCGCATTGTCATTAATAAGAAAATGTTTTTTTTTTTAACTGATTCATTTGCTAACCTGACATGCAGTGACTGAATCAGGGAAACATTTACAATGGAAACTCTCACTGCTAACCCTGAATTTAAAAAAAAAGTAGTTTATTGATCAAAGTGAGAGATCGAGTTGAGATTAAAGCCTGAAGTGTTTCATCTTCTCGTCTAGAGTCAACCAGTCAGACAGCAGCAGGGAGTTGGTTCTTTTGTCTGGATCACATCTGTAATCTCCTCTAAATATATTCACTGGAAGTGGGAGAAAAGTACAGGAGTCTGACTGCCTCCACCACAGCTGGACGGAGAACGGCCACACAACTCAAGATTTACTTCAAATCGTTGTTTATCTTTTGGGAAGTGCATCATTATATATAATACACTTAAATGTCAGAATAAAAATATGTCAACCTGGCAGTGCCAAAACGCTTATTTAAAAACGTTGCAGCAGGGGCTTTGAGTTGCCGTGGCAATATTGTGTCTCTTGTCACGCGAAAAGCTGAGACAGAACACCCACAGATTTGAGGTTGCTGTCAGATGGGTCAAGAAAGTGTCATCATCACTTGCTGTATGAAAGTCTAAATTAGGCATCCCAACCCGCATTATTAGTTCTAGGTCTAGAATTTTATAAAACCTCAATGGGGATAAGATTAAATAACACTTGTCAATTTCAGTTCAATCAGCAGTACGCTCTTCTTAATGTGATTTACTTTCAACCGGACCATTGGAAAAAAAAAAGAAAAAAAAAGCGTTTATTCATTCGATTTGAAAAGGGCTGTTCTGACCATTCATGGTGCATTTACACAACAGACCAGCCCATGACATTTTGAGACATTTGACCATTTCTTTTTCACAGGATTTTTTTTTTTTTACATTTTTGGCTGTAAAAAACATTTACAGCCAAATAAAGTCAGGCTAATGTTAATAAGATAAAATTACATTACGTATATTGTTTTATTTTAGGGAAATTTAAATCCAGCGCAGGAATGAAAAGAACTTGAGGTAATTGATGAATGGATGGCCAAAACATGCCAACCGGTAAATAAATAAATAATATATACGGTAAAGATTCTCTCAACCTCCTTCCTGTGGACTACTTAAAATGAAAGCTGATCGCTTTCATGTGCTGACAAATGTCCATGGCCTCGGGGTTTATGAAGCGCAGTAAAAGTCAGTTGTGTATTAAACGTACGTGTGAGTAGAGAATAAAAGAAGCTAGTGGTTCTGTATTAGACGTTTCTTTGAGACATGCTGTAGCATAACCCTTCTATAAGCCTCACACGGCCTCCAGCCAAGAAACTCAATGTCCTGTGACTACGTCATGGGTTTTTTTTGGGTCAAAGAATATGGATATTCAAATTATTAAAAAGGGACTGATTCCGTGCCCATAAGCTCACTAAAACAGTTCAGGGGTGTTCATTTAAACGTGAAATGAATGCATGATGTAACTGGACACTAGCGAACAAATGTTAACCTCATGTGATTTCTGTTGGCATGTTCAGAGTGAAAACACACTCATTTGAAATGAAGTGTGCTTGTATAGGGTGGGTATGCACACGCACACCTTTTGTGGCATACTTTCAACATCACACAGTTGCTGCAGATTTGTCGGCTGCACATCTAGGACGTCCACCACATCCCAGATGAACGAGTAATTGTTTTAGAAAGTGGTATTTTATACACTGTTTAATTGTTTAATAATCCAGCAGGCATTTAGCACGGACATTTCCAAACCACTGTCTTTCCTCTGCAGACTGTGCGTCACGCAGGATGTGCAGGTGCTGGTCATATAATTAGAATATGGAGATTTAATTTTGCAACAGGACTTGGCAGCTGCACACAGTGCCAAAGCAACCAGTACCTGGTTTAAGGACCATGGTATCCCCGTTCTTAATTGTCCAGCAAACTCACCTGACCGTTATCCCGTAGAAAATCGATGGGGTATTCTGAAGAGGATGATGCAGAAGAGCTGAAGGCCACTATCAGAGCAACCTGGGCTCTCATAACACCTGAGCAGTGCCACAGACTGACAGACTCCATGCCACGCCGCATTGCTGCAGTCATTCAGGCAAAAGGAGCCCCAACTAGGTATTGAGTGCTGTACATGCTCATACTTTTCATTTACATACTTTTCAGTTGGCCAAGATTTCTAAAAATTCTTTCTATGTATTGGTCTTAATATTCTAATTGTCTGAGATACTGAATATTCCTTAGTCAAGCATTCATAAAAATAAAAACAAATAAACATGTGCAATATATCAGTCTGGGGGTAATTAATGAATGAATGAATATAATTACAAATATAAAATAAGTTTCACTTTTTGAAATTGGTGAAATTAATTTATGATATTCTAATTATATGACCAACACCTGTATGTGTAAGGGGCCGTCGTGGCGCAGGGGTTAGAGAAGGTGTGCTGGGAAGCACAAGGTTGGTGGTTCGATTTCAGGCTGCCTCATGTTCCATGTCGATGTGTCCCTGAGCAAGACACCTAACCCCTAATTGCTCCCCAGGCAAAAATATGAAAAAGCCATGGGTTTAAAGTGTAATGTAAGTCGCTTTGGATAAAAGCGTCTGCTAAATGACCTGTAATGTAATGTAATGTTGAGATGGAAGTAACCTAGCAGCTACCAACATGTTCCAGGCCCTATCGGTCCTAAAGTGGTCCGTTGGCCGCTCATCCCCCTTCTGTTTGACACGTGGAGGAATTCCTCCAGTTTGTCATAGCCGTACGCATATTTGTCCTCTTTGTAGTTGGGCTGGGACAAAAGAGCCCTGTCGGCCGTAGCGTCCACGCCACCTGCCCTCAAACCTGAACGGAGTTTGACATGAAATCCCGCATGGTGTCCTCCTTTTTGGTGTTATGATATGGTCACCCTAGTGGGGTGCTTCATTTGCTTCATGCTGCTAGCTCGCTATTCCAAATGTATCAGATGTTGGCAAAAATGAAGGTGCTTTGGCAAATATCGTATCTATAGTGATTGTAGCGGGGGTTGATTTTAATAATGTCATTCAGTTGTCCCTTCTACCTCACGCCAGGTTTAAAACCACTGCTTTGGGGAGCTCAGTGAAAGGCTATTTGAGCTTTATTGAAGTGGGACTTTGCTAAAGCCATTGCAACCTGTTAAGAGCAGTCGCTTTGAACCTCCCATCGCTGGGGGCTGCAGATCCTAATAAACCCTCATGGAGACACGCTGTGTTCTGACGCACCGATGGCACACACTTACCTGAACTGTAGAGCTAATTTCAGCAGCAAAGCCTCCGGTTATTGGCGCTTCATGGCTGATGACAAGACGTCCGGTTTTCACCACTGACTGAAAAACAAAAAGACAGATTGAAGAAGGTTCTCCACGGTTTCAAAGCAGCAGCACCTCTAACAGACGGGACAGACCTAATCTGCTCAAATGAAACAGGGCAACAGACTCAACATCGTTAGAGGTGCCAGTAATGCTAAGCTGGATGGGTGAACGTCACCAACAATCACCCAAATAGATTTGATACATTCAGACCGGTAACTTGGTGGAGGTGACGATGGTTCATACTGTGGTATCCTCGGTGTCGCTGTGTGTGCACGTATGAAATGGACGCAACACCAGAGTGTGAGTTGGAGGCTGGTAAACGGCGCCAAAGGGACGATCTTCTGCATTTGCATTTGGGTTTTTTGCAACTTGACATTATAGGAGAAGGATGCCTCTTGCTGCTCCACCCGTTAAACAGCATAAAACCAGTATTATACTATAATCTAGACCAAAGCTATGTCAGTTCAGTGCCAATTCAGCAGCTTTTCCCTTCCTCTGCCCACACGTCAGCATTGTTTGGTACCAACAATAATTTTGGTAAAACACCTCTTCAACCCAGCTCAGCATACTTGCCAATATGTACATGTTTTCTACTCTATTTCCATCTAGGGTACGTCACGTGCGAGGTGACTGATAAGTGTGTTTAAAGTCGGTTGTCTAAGTTTTGTTTACGGCACTAAAGAAAAAACGCTGTTTGTGTGAACACAGCGGGTTGCTTATCCAATATCTCTCCATACACTCAGACCACAAAGCCTAGCAGCTCAGAACTAAAGAACCCACTGAAAACAAGCACAGGTCCACTTGTAGATCAGCACTCACAAATGGCAAAGTGTCGTCGTTAGAAGCTGGAATGCAGCAATACTTAAAGCTTTTCCCAGGAAACACTATTGTTTGAAAAGCTCAGGTCAGTTTGCAAAAGCTACATATTTAGCAATCAGTTGAGTTGAACGGGTTCACGTGAAAAAAATATTTAAAAAAACACTGGTTACATGACACCATCTCCAGGAATGTGCCTGTTAATAACACCGGAAGACAAAAACAACAGTCGGCACAGTGGGGAGGAATAGAGCGATGGGTTGAGAGCAGGGCAATGTCTTGATGTGACATGTTGCTGTTAAGATGACTCATACAGGTGCAGCGCTCTCCTCCACTCTGCATCGTACGTACACTCCACACATAAAACACGCTCTGCACTGTAGGATATCAACACTTTAATCACTGCATCACAATTGCATTCTTTAAGACGCATTAAAAACAAGGGAGCCTGCCACTGTTTTTACAACAGGGGGGGGGGGTAGAATTTCAGACTCTGGGTCCTGGGGAAAGCTTGTGACCCAGTTAATAGACAAAGATAAGTCTGTGGCAGGGTGCCCACTTGTGTGCATTAGTTCAGTAGGCTATTATATGTACTGCATTATATAACAGGTGAGCAATAAAGCGAGGCGTCTGCTCGCGTATGTCCTTCACTGATCTCAAGATCACGGGCTGAAAGCCGCGCAGTGTGAAAGTGGGCGCAATGTGGACATATTAAATGAACTTTCAATGAAATTGCTGCGGCAAAAACGTGAAACGCAATCCACTTGTCATGTTGTGGGGAACGATGGCGTCCTCCAGGAGGAAAGGAAACCGTGGTGTTCAGATTTGTGGCCTGCCAAGTGGTGGCAACACGCTTTAATATTAATTTAAAACAAGGAAATGCTAATGTCAACATGCTCAGAGAGAAACTAATAAGATGTGCATTTAGTTTATGCAGCATGTGAACATTAGCTGATGAGAACCCAATACCACTTGCAGGGTTGGCTGATGAGACTGTCAGGTACTTTGCAGATATTTCATTCAGGGACATAATGGTTTTGACCTGGTGATGGCGCTCGATGGAGAGTCTGGGTTTTACCTAAACACTCAGGACTTGGGGACGGAATAATTATCAACGGCAAAATGTCATGGTGATCCACAGTGTCGAAACACCACACAGGTCAAAGCTATGGGATTTAGTATTGTGGGAAGACATTTGTCAGTCCACATCAGTGCACCTCCACCCGAACAGAAAGGACAGTCGTAATGGCTCCTGTTGTCAGATTGCAAACTACTCACAGCCAAAACTGTTCGACTCATTCAACTCACCTCACTGCCTACAGTTAAACTACACACTAGAAACAAAGAAAGACTTTCTGAGGTGATCTTTTACACATTACAAGTAGCGGTCGTCTTCTAACCAGTTGCTGTAGGTTGCATTGTGGGTTTTCAGGAGACATCCTCCAACGGAAACCTGTCATGACAGTGAACTTGGAACAGAGGCTCAGAAATCACTTTCAGGACAGTGATGCAGCCAAATAAAATCCATCGGACTCATTAAAAGATGATCAGCCAGGTTCATCCAAGGAGAGAAATTAAACTATTTGAGGCAGAACTGAACAATTCAATTCAATTTCAATGCCGCCTGGGGAAGTGCTGGGAGGGGATCACCTTGTTGTGCCTCATGAGATTATCACACAGTGACTCGTGTCCCGGGAGTCCAGAAGTCTTTTGCTCAAATCGGAGCAGTGTGTTGTTTAGGCGTTGTTTAGAGAAAATAGCAAACATTGCACCAAAATGAAAGGTGGGCAATGACAATGGACCACAGTGGGATTTACTTAAGTGCAAAAGAGAAGCGGTGCAATATTGTGTAAAAACAAAGTAACCTTATTGTCAAATTCACTAGAAAATGTGTTATTTCAACGTTCTAATTGTGTTGGAAATCTATTGGTTTCTTTAATTGACTTCTCTTTACATAGATTTAAATCATCTGATGTACATTACCTGTCAAAGGGTTGGAGACTTTCTCATTGAAGGAGGAATTGTGTCCAACCTCTTTGCTTCACCAGAATGTTTCTTACAACTGTCTGAGGGGGCTTCTGAGAAAAGCCGACAAAACCCAAGGTAGACAGGCAATAAATTCGTCAACTTGTCACTTACTATCCTCCTCCTCCTCCCATTACATGCCAGAGTTGTTCCGCTGGTCATGCGCACGTCATGTTTAATGCCATACGCACCCTAACGAGCAGCGTAGAGCTGGTCCTCCTGCGCTCACTCGGCCCTCACCTACTTTTAACCGTCTCTTCCGCCATTTGCCTCCTTCTGGCCGGTCATTTAATCTCCATCAAAAGCTTTTTTCTTTTCCTCCCTCCATCCCTAAAACTTTCCATTTAACCGTCAACCCTGAAGCACCCAGTGCGCCCCGCTATGCTTCCTCACCACTAGGAGGCCAAAGACCTCGCATAACCTCAGAGGCTCGAGTCAGAGCTGTCACTCTCCCATGAAAGAAACACACACACACACACACACACACACACACACACACACACACACACACACACACACACACACACACACACACACACACACACACACACACACACACACACACACACACACACACACACACACGACAGAGAGTTACTTTCCCAGGTTGCCTTCAGCTTCCGATGCAGTTGTGGGATTTTGTCATTGAAGTGTCATCAAAACACGGAAATATAGAGCAGAAAAAGAGTATATAATACACAGACCACTCATTTATTGTAGAGTGTACAGACTATGGGGATGAGAAATGAATAAAAACAGTTCATAATTGGGGCTAAACTGGGCTGTGGTTGGACTGGTGCAGAATCCTATAATGTGATTTTCAAAGCTTTTAAAAACACACTACTCTTTCCAGAAAAAGTTGCCAACACTTATTTGTTGGCTCTGTATTTTTTTCAGAGTAAAAAAATACAATAAAAGGGAGTGAGTGGGAGAGGAGAAAGGGTCGGCGCTGGGCGGAGGGCCAAGCCGTACTCCAGAGGAGCCAAAAGAGACCTCACAGAAATAACTCCGAAACATCCCATAAAGTCACATTAAACGCAATTCATCTCAATTCAATTCATCTAACGCGCACACACTGCGCTCGCCTAGCTGTCTACCTTTATGCCCCTTGAACCGCACAGCCTCATCCGCTCTAATAATTCAACTTTCACAGGTGCTATAAAAGGGGTCCGTACCATGCCTGTTAATTTGTGGCCCGTGGGCCACCTCCAAGTGACCCTGCATAAATAAAACCGATGTACGACAAAACGTGTGGGCCACACTGCATACATTTGTAATTTACATAAACATTTCTAATGAACTCAGAATGGAACAAAAGAGAAAGAGTATTTTGTGTAAGATACACTGAACTGCAGAACAACAAAGCACCATTTAGTACCAAAAAAGAAAAATAAACCGGCAAAGTTATGACTGAACCGACTTCTTTAAAAAAAAAAAAAAGAACAATGAGCAATTAAATAAGCAAATACGTTGTGAGGTTAAGTCAAAACTGGCAGTTGAGTTTGCCAGGTTTAAATCTTGTACACGCCTCTGACATGGCTGCCTTTGGGATTCATTTATCAGTTTTTTCTAGAAGAAATGTCATAGATAATATTGCTTGATACATCCCCCATGGTAATAACCATTTACTGCTTGTCTGGCTTTTAATATCTATTGCAGCAACGTTTACTCTGGGAACATATCAACTTCATACTTTCATTCTACTATATTCCAATTCTCTCTTAAAGCCAATTTTCATTACTTGAGGATGTCAGAAAAATTGATTGGTTGAGTGTTTGGCGGTGTTGTGGAAGAAGATGCATTGGTGTAGAAAATTCTACAACAAGCCAACATGGTTTTCACATCGTAATATGCTGTGGCATACGACATTTTAAATCTTAAATATTTCTAAGCCGATGGTTCCTTTTCTCCCCACCGTGTACTCATAATACTGCCTTGAAGAGAAGTTTAAAAAAAAGGTAGTTTAAAAAGCAAAACCTTGCATAGCACAAAAGTCACCAAAAGAGACAATACTAATATATTATACACACACACACATACTATGAGGATGCTATGAGACCAACACCAAGTTTGTTTAATGGCTCCCAATGCACATGACATTCCTACAGGACCATAAAGACCCCACAGATGCGCCTGCATCTGGCTCGCATCAATACTGTGCAAAGAGAGGTTTA